CAGAATAGAGAGCCCAGAAATAGACCTTCAACTCTATGGTCAACTAATCTTCAACAAAGCAGGAAAGAATGTCCAATGAAAAAAAGACAGTCTCTTCAACAAATGGTGTTGGGAAGATTGGACAGACACGTGCAGAAAAATGAAACTGGACCATTTCCTTACACCACACACAAAAATAGACCCAATGAATGGGACTATTTTTGTGTGTGGATGAAAGACCTCAATGTGAGACAGGAATCTATCCAAATCCTTGAGAAGAACACAGGCACAACAACTTCTTCCTAGAAACATTGTCAAAGGCAAGTGAAGCAAGAGCAAAAATGAACTATTGGGACTTCATCAAGATCAAAAGCTTTTGCACAGCAAAGGAAACAGTCAACAAAACCAAAAGATAGCCAACAGAATGGAAGATGATATTTGCAAATGAAATCAGATAAAGGGCTATTATCCAAATCTATAAAGAATTTTTCAAACTCAACACCCAAGGAACAAATAATCCAGTCAAGAAATGGGCAGAAGACATAGACAGACATTTCTGCAAAACAGACATCCAAATGGCCAACAGACACATGAAAAAGTGCTCAACATCACTTGGCATCAGGGAAATACAAATCAAAACCACAATGAGATACCACCTCACACTCAGAATGGCTAAAATTAACAAGTCAGGAAATGACAGGTGTTGGCGAGGATGCAAAGAAAGGGGAACCCTCCTACATTTTTAGTGGGAATGCAAACTGGTGCAGCCACTCTGGAAAACAATATGGGGGTTCCTCAAAAAGTTGAAAATAGAGCTACACTATGACCCAGCAATCGCACTACTGGCTATTTACCCTGAAGATACAAATGTAGTGATCTGAAGGGGCATGTGTACCCTAATGTTTATAGCAACAGTGTCCACAATAGCCAAACTATGGAAGGAACCTAGGTGTCCATCAACATATGAATAGATAAAGAAGATATGGTATATAGAGAAAATGGAATACTATGCAGCCATTAAAAAACCTGAACTCCTGCCATTTGCAACAACATGGATGGAACTAGAGTGTATCATGCTAAGTGAAAAAGTCAATTAGAGAAAGACAATTATCATATGATCTTTCTGATATGAGGAATTTGAGAGGAAGGGCAGAAGGTCATAGGGGTTAGGGAGGGAAAAAATGAAACAAGATGGGACTGGGGAGGGAGACAAAGCATAAGAGACTCTTAATCTTAGGAAACAAACTGAGTGTTGTTTGAGGTTATCCCCCACCTAGGCATAGGGTGGCTGGGTTATGGACATTGGGGAGGGTATGTGTTATGGTAAGTGCTGTGAATTGTGTAAGACTGATGGTGCACAGACCTGTACCCCTGAAGCAAATAATACACTATATATTAATATAATACATTATAATACATTCAGAGAATGATCAGTCAAGATGTGTTCTAAGAAATCCTGGTTTCTTTCTTTATTATTATTATTATTATTATTATTAACATTTTTAAAAGATTTTATTTATTTATTTGACAGAGAGAGATCACAAGTAGGCAGACAGCAGACAGAGAGAGAGGGGGAAGCAGGCTCCCTGCTGAGCAGAGTCTGATGCAGGGCTCGATCCTAGGACCCTGAGATCATGACCTGAGCTGAAGGCAGAGGCTTTAGCCCACCGAGCCACCCAGGTGCCCCAGAAATCCTCGTTTCTTAGTGTAGCTTCCATTTTTGCTTGATAGCAATTTTGATCTCAAATAATTATAATAAGAGATAGGAATTTGTATTTCTTATGTCCTAGGTACAACTTTAAGCAATTTACATGTGCTGTCTCATTTAATGCTCATAATAATCCCATGATTTAGGTTTAATTATTACCCTTGTTTTACATATGAAGAAAATGAGGCACAAAGAGGTTAAATAATTTGTCTAAGTTTCCATATTTATAGAGCAGAATTATAGTTTGAACCCTCTATACCATGTTACTGATCTTAGCCTAACTTGTTTTTAGTTATAATATAGAGTTCTCTTTTCTTAAGTGAACACCATAAATTTCTTCAAATCATATTTGTGAAAAGTTAATTTTCTCACAAGTTAAGAAAGAGTCCGTGAAATGTAAGAGGTCTTATTATATTTTTGCTTCTATTAAGACATCACAATGCCTGACTAGGAGGAATTCCCCAAGACAGGCAGACATTTAGACATGGGGAAATTTTTTTTCTATGAAAGCATAGCAAATTTCAGATATCCTGGGGCTCCCATACTCCTAACTTCTCCAGTCATACTCCAAACCCCTCATGCCCACAACTCAATTCCACATAAGAATGAGTATTCTCCAAAACAGGGGAAAATAATATTCGAAGGATAGTCTCCTTTAAGCATTTTTTGCCTTTAGGAAAATATAGTCAACTTCTGTGATCCCTTGTTAGGTTAATTATGATAATCTTTCAGTTATTTTAAATGCCAGATGTGATAAAAATTATTACTTGATTGACCAACTAAATAAGCATTCAAATACAAGTAGAATATTTCATGCCACACAAACTTAATATTTTAATTTTCAATTTTTTAAAAAGAGTTTATTTATTAGGGTACCTGGTGGCTCAGTGGGTTAAGCCTCTGCCTTCTATTATTTGCCATACTATTTAAAAATGGTTGTATTATAGTAATGTGGGTAAGTATAAAAATGTTATCTATCCACATATTATTTCTGCTAAGTTTTCTGCCCCTCAGGAAGTATCATAACTTTATTTTAAAGCTTATTTATTTATTTGTCAGAGAGAGAGAAAAAAGGAGTGCACAAGCAGGGGGAGTGGCAGGTAGAGGGGGAGAGAGAAGCAGGCTCACAGCATTGGGCTTGTTCCCAGGACCCTGGGATCATGACTTGACCAAAGGTAGATGTGTAACCAGCTGAGCCTCCCAGGCGCCCTTCATAATTTCCCATTTAGATAATATTCATTGATGTTTTAATACCTATCAGAAATTTGACTCCTTCCTATTAAATTAAATAAAAAGACCTTTCACATTTAAACAAAAGAAAATAAAACCATCACTATAACCATTAGTACCAAACATCTGAGAAATCTCAATTGTTTTCAATGGAAACCCCACAAAGCATATTGTTCTTTTTTTATTATTTACCTACCTTATTTTAAAAGAGGCGGCCTGCAGTCTACACCTCAGATTGTATTATGCAAATTCACGAAATATACATGACTTTTCTATAACCTGAACACTATTTTAGGATTATGACAAAATTTCATGGGAGATGTTGAATTTGAATTTTTTAAGTTATTTTCTTACTTTGAAACAATTCCAAGTTACAAAAATGTTGTAACTGCAGTACAGATAATATTGTTCCTGAATGATCTGAGAATTATGATAATTTGAGAGTAGTAACAATTGAGCACTTGAACATATTTTCCCCACAAACATGGACATCTCTTTATAAATGAAATGCAGCCACTAAATTCAGAAAATAGATACACTACCATATAATCCTCAGACTGCATTTAAGTTTTGTTGCTTGTTTCAATAATACTCTTCATAGCAAAAGGATCCAGTCTAGAATCAAGCAGTGCATTTCATTATTCTGCCTCTTTAGTCTCTTTTAATCTAGATTTCCTCAATTTCCCCATAATTTTCATGGATTTGACATTTAAAAAAATTACAACTTAGTTATTTTGCAAGATGCTCCTTGTTTGAGGTTTATCTTCTACTTTCCTACTACTGGATTAAAATTGTCTGTCTTTGAAGAATAATGAATGGGATTTTGTTGTTCATCTCACAATATCCTATCATTTGATACATTACTTGTGAAGTTAGTATTAATTCACGATTAAGGTGATCACTGTAAAAGAATTTTTGGTAAGTATATTATGGAGAAGTACATTAACTTTCAACTTACTGACTTACTAATATAAATATGAGCTCATGGATATCCATTTTATCCAATGGGTTATCATCTGCTTTTATTATTATTCACTTGATCTTCTTATAGTCTCAGATATGGGCAGTGTGATCTTCTTTAATCTGACTTCTTTCTTTGACATGTCCCTGGTATTAGTTTGAGTACTTCCATATTTCTGTACAACAAGAGAGGCTCTTTTTGTCTTTCTCATGCCCCAGCTGTGCAAACAGCTACTTCTCCAAGCAGTCCTAGTTTGTTTGATTCAGAAATGGTATTTAGAAACCAAGATTTGGGAGGTAGGTGTGCCCATTGTTTGGGTGTGTCATTGTTCTCAGGATTTGGAACTAAGAAAATATATGTAGGAAAAATTCATCTATCCATCTATTTATCTATTTTTCCATGTATACACATATTAACATATATCTTCTATCTATATCCATACACTAGGAATTCACACTGATATGTGCATTTTTAAGCCAACACCACAGGATCCAACATAGTTTCTTTCTTTTCATATTTGTAACTTCTTTCTACAACAGTGGAAACCCTATGTCCCAATTTTGCTTAACATATTTATTTGATCAATTTCCTCATGTATATTATCCTATTGCTGCTGAACATTCCAGTCCTCCCTCCCCGCACCAGATGTTCCTTCTTGAGCTCCAACACTGCTCTTCAGGCTGCTGAGTTCTCCCTATACTCTATACTCTATAGAGTCTATCTACCTATACCTATACTCTCTATGGGTGCTAACCTTACTTGTCCCCATCTAATGAGTTTGGGACTAAATTATTCAGGAAAGAAAGATAAGGAAAGAGAAGGGAAGATGGAAAGGAAGATGAAAAAGAAGAGAACGGGAAGAACTTGTAATATTTTTAAATTGCTTATTTTTCTGTTATGTGGATTCTAATGTCATTGCATATTACATATTTAATTGAAAAATTCTCTTTTTATTGAATAACTAAAAACAAAATAACAAGTCTACTTTAACTAACTAAACTTCACATATTTGACAAATATTTATTAAGTACCTACTCTGTGCCAGTAAAAATAAATTTTAGTAAAAACCCAATTAACTACAGTTCTCAATTAATCAATATATTTTACTTACTTGCTTTTCAGGGAAATTGGCCCATTATAAGAAATCACATCCAAATTGAAGATTTATTCCAAACAAGGTCAGTCATAAAGTCAGCATGGATTTTACTGTAATTCTCATGACTTATGTATTATACTATATAATAAGAAGTGATATTCAGGATTATGACCCTGAAAGGGAATATGAAACTCAATCACAATCTAAATACTGCCATGCTCATTACAGACATGTTAGAAATATTTTCAACAAATATTGTTTTATTCTGTTAACCATAAAGCTATTTTTAGTTTAGTTTGGTTTCCCCAAACAACCAATTTCTCATTTATTTATTCATTCTGCAAATATTTAGGAAGCATTTTTATGTGTCAGGCACTGTTTAAGAAAATCTATTGAAGTTCCTGTTTTGGTGGAATTTAGCATCTTAGTGAGGGGGAAAAAGTCAATAAACAGGCAATTTGTGCAATTCCAGGTATTATAAGTGCAAGAAGAAAAATAAAGAAAGCTAGGGGAGCTGCCTTAGACAGATGGTTAGTTTAATTTTCCTTGCCATCAGTTTGTCATTTATCCAACGAGATTTTCCTTCTCAAGGTGCGAAATACATTGTTCTCATATTTGTTTGCTGGATTTCTTTAGTGTGTTTGGGTCAAATTTATAGTAAACTCTTAGTTGTATCTAAATCATTTTGAACAGACTAGGCAGATATTAATCAAGATAGCAAATTGGGGAAGATAAAAGAGAAAGGAAGAATCACTTGAGGAAGGAGTTTGAGTGGATTTTTAAATTAAAAAAGAATCTTCTTCATGTTGCTTAGGTTTTCTATGTGAGTTATGATATCTTCATGATGTTTAAAAACTATTTTTGTTAAAAAATACTTTCACAGTGGCTGAATTCTACTTCAAATAATATGCTGATAGCTTATGTATCCTGAACAAGAATGAATGGAAAATGAAGTCATTGAGATAGACAAAAATCTGTAAATCTTTCTATTGTTCATCAGCCACTTTCCAGATATGTATGTTTTACTAATTCCTATTAATGGTGACTCTACTTTAATAATTTAAATTATAGATATGGCTGAAAACCCTTCTGTTATTCTCAAGCAAAATTTGGTATCTTATTTCTTAACTCAGTAGATTTCTGTCTACTCCAATGGTACTGTTATAAATTTAAAGAATGAATAATATCAGTTTAACAGAAAGAAACATAAGAAAATGAAAGTGATTAAATTCTAGAATAAATTAGTGAATAGAAGTAAGTAGCATCCATATGTGAAAGAAAGAGCACTGGACAGGAATTTTGAGACCTGATCTGAACTCTTCCTAGTTCTAGTTAGGTAACTTTGGGCAAACAAATTCTATTTTCTTATCTTGTCTTCTTTTTGGCATAATGAAGATGATGTCAGTTCGTGTCTAAAGTCACCATTTTAGAAACAAAATCCTAGAGGTAAAACCAACAAACCCAATAAAAAAATACCAGCCTCATGTGTTTTGACACATGCACTTTCTCACACTGTACACACATACTGTACTAAAAGAAAAATTATTTTTCAGTCAAATAAGAGAATATGTTGAATACTCAATTATTAAAATTCCTATTCACCACGATTACTGCTCTGTTAGTTTCAATTCTTTCAAAAATTATAATAATCCTCTCGAATGATTATATTTGAGAAAAAAGAAGGATAGGAGAAATAGCTACATTATATTTCTCTTTTGATGTTTGTTTTTTCAGTAAGGTTCACAAAAGACATCTCTATCTCAATCATTTAGACTTTGCATATGTGCAAAAATACATTTTATGAAAAAATTTCTGATTTATTTTATATTATTTTCAAATAAATAATAATGTACAGGGTTGAATTTGTTTACTCATTCTCAGAGAGAAAGGGACCCAAAATAACTACTGTACTATTAAAATTACTGGAAAAAAATCCAATAATAAGTTTTGTTAACTATAATAATACCTTGACTTTTATATAATATATTTATTCACAGAAGAGAATACTTTACAAAATATGCATGTGATTTTTCTCGTTCATTTTCAAAGGCATTTTATAAAATACAGATTAAACAGTTTCAAAAATGTATTTCTTTTACTCATTTGTCTCCATAATATTTAGCCTCCTATACTTTCAATTTTAATGAATTATTCCTTTTTAATATGTACCAATTGAGTATACATATTATATACTTATTTTCATATGTATGATGCATATTGTATACATATTATATGCATATGTGCAAAGGCACAATGTTCACTGGCAAGGACCTTACAATTTGTATTTTATTTTATTTATTTTATTTTTTAATTTTTTTATATGGGACACTTCATGAATTTGCATGGCATCCTTTGTGCAGGCGCCAAGCTAATCTTCTCTGTATCATTCCAATTTTTAGTATATGTACTATGACTGATATTTTAGAAATTAAAACCAAAATGGAAAAACTTTCCACAAAATAATCAGATATACAAACAAATAACTCTGAACTTTGATTTTATTTCTTCCTGTACATTATATTATATAAATTCCATTTTATTTTTTTTAACCAAGCAATACCTGAATCCACTAAAAAATTTCCTCTGACATGCTTTTATACCCCTATCTAAGTTGATGAGCATAAAGCTACTCATTTTTTTGGCTTTAAGCCATTTTATAAGGTAAACAAAGTCACACGAGTATTTGTTAAAACCTCAACTACAAAACTAGTGACGTATCCAGTGGATGGCAAATTTGGATGGGAGGGAAAAGCTGCTCAGAGACCTTGTTAGCTGACTGATACAATATATATACATTAAGGAGCCTAGAAAGCACTGGACAAAGGGTTATGTTGCAGTGGTATTTGTTGTAAAGCTACATTCCTCCCCCTTATAAATCCATAAAGAGTATATGTTTTTTCACATAAATTTATACCCAAAGGTGGAACCCAATTATCTGTCACAGAACTGTTTTAAGAATGAAGTGAGATCATATTTATAAAATTAACACTGAGTGTGTACTAAGATCTTGGCCCTGTTTTAAGTGTATTCATCTTTACAACAACACTACAAATATTAGGTTGAAATGTATGAAATTGAAATTTCTGTAGATGAAAAACAGTTGAATATCTGCAGAATTATATTTCAACTTCATCCTATCGTTTCATGTTACAAATGAAGAAACTGAGGAACAGAGGGGTTAAGTAACTTGCCCAAGGAGAATCATTGTTTTTCTCACTTTACAATTGAGAAAGCTGATATTTAAGAAAGAACAAGCAACTTTTCTGTGGATACACAGCTACCTGCCTCTCAGGGAGTTAGATCAAAAGAGATTATATCTGCTTATGCACTTTGTAAATTTCACATTGCTAAAAATGTTAAACTATTTCTGCTGTTAATATAAAATCTTCTCTTCCTACCATCATATTGGGTCTTTCATTCTCCAGTCACCAAGGATTACAAGGAAATGATGCCTTTGGTTTGGTTTCAAGATAAAAAGGCTATCATATTTACTCTCCTCTGAGATGTTTCCCCTCCAAAACAACAGGGTGACTGCAGTCATCCATCCTGCCCTTTCTGTTATCAACTCAATGCCAAATGATTAAGGTGCGAGAGTACTTTGGTTTGTCCTCAAATTATTTTCCATGATGTCCTTGGGACAGATGAGGTGCAAGGGCTATTGGAGATAACATAAAAACATTGATGAAACATTATCATTTCTCAAGTACCACACAATAAACTTCAAACAAAATTTCATGGGATTTAATTTGAGCTGGAACGAGGGATATTTTAGAAAGCATACATGGCAGAAGAAAGAAGAAACTAAGTAGAGACATCAGGTTGCTCTTCTTCTTCTTCTTTTTTTTTTTTCTCTTCTACTCTACTTTTGTCAATGTCCTTGTAATAAGCTAGGCACTTTGACACATTTGAGCAGCATTTGGTGCACTGCAATGAGGCCATGAGAGACCATCTTCAGCCTTGGCAGAGAGAACATGAAGATCTTTCTTAGCAACATGTGCTAGGTGTGCTAGTCCAATGAAGTACTTCAATTCCATTAGTGGTTTCCTTGTAAAAATTTCAACTGCAACAGTAACAGTGTATCTTTATGGTTCTCTATATTATTTAGAAGCATTTTAAGTGGGATAATGCTCGTAATCTTTAGAACATTGCCAAACATGCTCAGCATTTTAATCGGTATTGATTTCTTATGAAATTTTGAGCATATCTTAATTTAACATTTAGAAACACAAGTGCTTTCATGTGTTCAGAGAATGCTTAACCATCCATCAGGAATTTAGGTTAATTTCCTTAGGAAATGATTCATCACACTCCTTGCATTTATCTTATTCTCACTTTATTTTCTAGATTTATCTTTAATGTATCCTTTCCCACTTCCCAACATTTATATACCACCTCGGTTTTCCCAGAATAAATACACTTCATCATCAGTTATATCTATCCTTGTCCTTTCCTTCAATGTTGTAACACATTTCATTGTTTCTTCTTATTTACTGATAACTGCTGTATTACCAAAATAGACATCAGTTGCAAATACACAGTAGCTACACTGGGTGCTATTTGAAGCACAGAGAAATTTCCCCCTGAAATTGAAGTTGATGAACTAGAGGCACATTAAAAACAAATTAAGATCCACTCACTACAACCAATATGGGTTACCACAACAGAAAATTGCTGTGGCTATTATACACAGTAACAGAGAACTTGTACTAGAAGAAAAAAGTAGAACGTGAGTTATAAATCACAGTAGGTTAATAGAAGACTGTTAGCTCTGATTTTCCTTTTTTCTTGTAGAACCTTTTAATTACTGCATTTTTAATGCACTTACATTTGCAAGTAGTTCTCTTTTTTATTCTTCTAATAATAGTTCCTAAGGTACATCCTATAAATTACACCTTTCCTTTTCCTCTCCCTCTTCTCTTTAAACAATTCTGAGAGAGAGAGAGAAAAGAGCAAACTGTAATTTTAAGTAACTCCTTTGGATTAGTTCATGTGCTCCTTAAAAAAAAAAAAAAAAAAAAAAAAAAAAACAACAACAACAAAAAAACCTCTGTCATTAGCACCGTGCTTTCCTGTCCCCATTCTTATACATGCCAATTTATCAGCTGCAGCATTACTGCTGGCCTGCCGTTTTTCTATTAAGGCACCAACTCTAGACAAACAAGCCCTCTCCATTCACTCCCTACATTCTTTACTTTTTTAACTTGTTCTAATTCCAGGTTTCCTCTAAGGACCCTCAATTTCAAAACCCTTCATTAGGCTGGTGGAAAGTACTTTTGTTTCCTTTTACACTATAAAAGGCTAGGTTTCTCCCCAAACTCATTTGTTCAGTTTTTGTCTCTTAACCTCCTTACCTCTTACATCACTTTTTGCAAGGACAGTGCCTTTTTTTTTTTTTTTTTTTTAAGTTCTCTAAGTCTTGTCCTTCTATCTTTGAGATGCTTCTGGAAACCTGACCTCCTGATTAAGTAGAAGAAATGTGTTACCACTGAACTTGCCAAACAAGTTAAGGGATGACTACAGGTCCTACATTTGATAAAATGCCAACGAATCCCAATTTAGAAACCCTAGGAAAAGCAATTACGTGGGGACAGAGAAAAATTTGTGGTAAGAATGACTCCGTGGCAAATAATTAGGTATAGGAAGAATAGGAATTATTTTTTTTTCTTGCAAAGATAGAGACATTCATTCATATAATAAATATCCCAGATTCTCTACTACACTAGAGCTTGGGATGATAATAATGATCCACACAGTAAAATATCTACTTTCTGGCATATTCATTTACGGAATAAGCTATTTTTTGTTGCATTCTTTGCTTTCATTCTTTACATGATACCATTCAAAGTCAAAAGATACGCATAAGACATCAAACACGTGCTTTTAAGTATTGAATTCAATATCATTTCCCTCAAAAGCTTCAACTAGGGGTGCCTGGGTGGCTCAGTGGGTTAAAGCCTCTGCCTTCGGCTCAGGTCATGATCCCAGGGTCCTGGGATCGAGCCCTGCATCAGGTTCTCTGCTCTGCAGGGAGCCTGCTTCCTCCTCTCTCTCTGCCTGCCTCTCTGCCTACTTGTGATTTCTGTCTGTCAAATAAATAAATAAATTCTTTAAAAAAAAAAAAAGCTTCAACTAGAATAGATTAAATTATGGTAATAAAGTGATGGATTGGAAAAATAAAATGTCTAATATCTTCCTCCCCTTTCTTGCCTTTTCTCCCAGTAGAAGAAAAGTCCAAGATGTGATAATTTGAAGAAAAGAGAAAGAGCCATATGTTGGATAACAAATGTTTAGTGAGTGAAGTTGTTTATGACCCCTAAGGAAATTACACTTAAATAATGAAATTATGTTTCATATGTTTTTATAGATTTTGTTTAAAACTACTTTTCTATGTTCAACAAACTAGGTAGAGAACATATTATTCCCAGTTTAAGAGAGAAAAAGTTGTATGTCAACTATATTTCAATAAAAACATAATTAACAACAAAAAAAGATGCTTGTCACAGAAAAAAAGAGAGAAAAGTTAAACAAGTGACATAGCTTATAGAGAAAAGCAGGATTGAGGCTAAAACATAGGTTTCCCAGATCCTGGTTTGATTTTTATTATTATTATTATTATTATTATTATTATATATACTTCTGTCTTTTAAAAATTCTCATGCTAATGTATACGGCAGTCTTTTGTAATACAAATAGTATACACCACATTCACATTAGCTTATATTTTATATATTTCATAGATAATAAGGTATCTGAAAACAAATTAAGTTTTTGTCAAAATCCTTGGTAAAGTGTGCACTCTCCTTTTGTGTGTTCAATTTTTTGATAAAATTTTAATATGTATATTTTATATTACAGTAGGAAAAAGCATGTATACTTTGATTTTTCAAAGTGAAGTGAATCTTGAAATTCTGAAGCATGGCTCTGATATCAAAGATAGTCAAATAATCACCACACTGATAATATTAACTTGATTGAATATTGCAATCTTCTTGGTTAGATGTATTTAAAACTGTCTTCAATTGATTTCTCTTACTTAGAAAAATGCAGCTTCTAAGGAGAATTCAGTTAGGGGCATTAGTGTGTTAGGTTTCAGAAAAAACGTGGGTAGGTTTGTGTAGACTTCACATGCACCTTTATTTATTTATTTATTTTTAAGATCCTTTTTTTTTTTTTTTTTTTTTGACAAACAGAGAGCACTAGTAGGCAGAGAGGCAGGCAGAGAGAGAGGGGGAAGCAGGCTCCCCGCCGAAGCAGAGAGCCCGATGCAGGTCTCAATCCCAGGACCCCGGGATCACGACATGAGCCGAAGGCAGAGGTTTTAACCCATTGAGCCACCCAGGCACCTTCACCTTTATTTATTTATTTATTTATTTATTTTCCTTTTTTTTCTTCTCAAACTGTTTCATTTTATTTTTTTCTCCAGTGTTCCAAAATTCATTGTTGATGCACCATACCCAGTGCTCCATGCAATACGTCACATGCACCTTTAAATTTTAAATGTAAAAGATCCCAAGTCTTGTGAGAAGTAAGGGTAATTCTCAATGAAATGTAATTAAATGTATGTAATTATCATGTTCTGAGTATGATCATTACTATGTTAAAGTTTCTGTAAGATATGGATCTTGAAACTCAAAGACTACATCTCCCTCGATCAAGTTTCAGTATCTTAGTGGTTAGTACTCAAAATTGTTAAAATATACTGCCCCAAAGGTCTGTTTTCTAAAAGTAAGATGACCCTAAATTCAAAGGAAAGCATAAAATTATTTTGTATGCTTTTCTTTTCCTTATAATATGCTTTTCTTTATCACTGATTCCTTTTTTTCCCATTTCCTGTATCTATTTTGGCTTCACTCTTCATTTCATTGTAATTTTCTTTACCCTGATCCTATAACCTGTCACTTCTCTTAGAATTCCCTTGTTTCATCTTCACCTGAGATTAGCCTCTAGCCTATAATACACAAAAGGGGGGTAAGACCATTCCGTGTACTGAAAACATAACACTCCAGTTTATAATATATTTTTTTCCCATTTGAAGCCTTTCTTTCTGTGGTAATAGAAACCTTTACCCATGTCTTTCTCCATTCTGTTCTATAATCCATCACTCTGCTTCTCCACACTCAACTTGCAGGTTTTGACCCTCCTTCTCTATTACTGTCTTTGAGATCTGAACCTCTTTCATCCCTTTTGCTATATTGCATGCCTGTCTCCTCTCAAAAGCTCCCTACTTCTGTTCATGGCAGCTGATCCTCTAGATAGCTCATCCAGGGAGGGGATATAGAGGAGAAAGCCCACCAAGTGGTTTTACTTTCAAATACTAAATGTGAATGTTGGCTGGAGTGCCAAGTGGCAAATCTGTACAGTACGAACAGTAAGCACTATGGGGGCTCAAAACTTTAGAATTATTTCCCTGTGTATGTCTGGACTCCATATCTGTGTCTGAATAATCATGCGCTTGTCTCAACTTTGTTAGGATTATTCAGTGCAGTCATTCAGACCAAAAGGCATTGAAGTTGTAAAAGAAATACTGCCAAGCCAAAGAGTTTGACTTAGGCTCACAAAATAACAAAAAGTGAAAAAAGAAAAGAAAAGAAAGAAAAAGATTTTTAAGCTATATTGTGTGAATGACAACTACTCAGAGCTCAAAAATAAGATGCCACTTCAGACGTGGCTATTAAATAGACTAGAAATCATATTCAAGGATGCCAGAAACTCACTGTGCTTTGTTCTGATTCAAATAACCTTTTAAAGTGGATATGTATCCAAGAGTGCTATGTATTCAGTAGCATTTAATAAACCCTTGTTTAAATGGATGGAAACGGCATAATAAGAATTTTGTGAGAAAATTATTTGGAAGAAAACCACATGATCTACGCTCTTTTCTTTAAAGTGACTTCACCCCAAGAGTTCCCCTGTTAAGAAACACTGGTAGTGTCATGGAGATTTGCTTGGTAGGCAGGTGGGTGAGTCTAAGCTTCATATAGGGCCCCTGTGCACGTGCATATTCCCCACTTCACTTACCTTCTTTATGTATCAATCAATATTTATTGTTCATCATGAACAATTTAGGCTCTTTTTGATTTTTCTCAGCCCCCAGGGCTGGGTTGGGGTAGAAAGAAATTAGTTTATATTCTGCCCTAATATAAACAGTTAACAAGGCCTTATGCTGTCTCCTTCTCAGTGTTTCGGGCCAGGGCATTTTCTCAAGTGAGCTCATGGTTTTGTGTCTAAGGTAGAGGAAATAGGTCGAAGGACTCTATCAAAGCACTCATAATTTTTTGAGCACTACATATGTGCTAGCACGTTTGAAGATATTTACATAAATTATTTCATTTTCAGGCTCCCAAGACCTCTATCCTCATTTCACAGATGGATGGGTAAACTGAGGCACTAATCAGTTAAAAAATTTGTCTAAGCTTATGCAGCAAGTGGGAGAGCCAGGGATGGAACCCTGACTTGAGAGCCTGCCCTCTCAGCCAGTAAGGTTGTCCTAGGGTAACTGAGTTAATTAATTCAACTCTTGTTGTATGAAGTTGTGGTTTTGTTTTGTTTTGTTTTGTTTTCTGTCTGCCAGGCTTACTTTGCTGGGTTGAATCATACTGAATAGACTGCCTTGTCTACAGTTGCCAGCACAAAAGCTTTTGTTGTTGTTTTGTTTTCTTGTTTTTGGGTGAAGCTCTTTCTCTTGGCCTGATCATTCCAGAAGTAAAACACCAGCATTATCAGGAGGACACTAGGCCACTGGTCCCTGGGGCAGCAGGTATAGAAAAACACCCAGTGGAAGACGTGACAGCAGTAGCCCTAAGCCCTGCTGGCTACAGCTCTCTAACCAGGTTAATTGTTGTGAAGATAGAATCTAGAGAAATGATAACTTAGGTCACCAGGTTAAGGGTGCTAGCTAAAGAACACAGAGGTCAGGGCCTGAGGTAAGGCTAAAAGAGCACCAGGAAAATGAGGTAAAAAACACAGGTGTTAGAATACCAGACTGCATCAGGAAAACAGGGGTAGAAAAGACATACCACAGCTCAGGCTCACTGGGTAGAATGGGGAAAGGTCAAACTGCCAGATAACAGAGCAAGCATAGTCCACTGTACTTGGTGGGATCCATTTTGCATCTGTAGCTACTATGGCAACCCCTTTGTGCCTAGCCTGTCTACTTTTTCTCTATGGTTCTGATAGTGAACACTAATCTCTAAATTTTAGTTCTAGGTTCCTAAGCTTGTAGAATTACATCTAGGAATGTGTGGAAAGGTTTCATTTTCCACTCTGCATTTTCATTGACCTTCCTTGTGTTGGGCTATCGCTTTTGATGGAGAACCAGACTGAGACTGAACAGCTTCTTCAACAGCTGCTGACTCTCATACTAGAAACTACTATAGAAGAATGAGGGCTATCTCAGAGAATCTGTCATTCTTCTAGTCCTGAGAATTAGGGCCTTGGTTGGTTAAGGGAGACATTGGTTGATATATCGTTTGTAATGTAGCTTAGCATTCAATCTTGACCTAAATCCAGATCCTGCTAAATTGTATGACACCCTAAAGACAAACTTTGGCAACACTGATACATTTTCTGCATTGTAGGATACACAGAACTTGTTTATGACATCACTATTTATTTATAATTCGTTCTGAGGCCACCATGATCTGTCTTACCAGACAGTTTCAAATTTTGAATTCTAACCTGGGTTTCAGTTTGTTTTCAAGGCTTTCGTTATATCCAGTGAATCAAAGGACAGTTTGATAATTTGACAATAATATTTTACAGGGTAAACATATTTGGGGTTGTGGAATTTGGACATCTAGTTTTGTGACTATAAATACAAACAGATATACATTGTTTTAACTTTAAAGGTTCGGCTTGCCAGGATGACTGTAGAAGCTCAATGGCTAGTATCCTGCTTGTTGTTTAGTCAACGTCTGTTTCTGTTTGTTCACATCATCCTTACAGTATCACACACTCTCGAAGAAATGGAACATCAACATATTCTCTGGACTCAAAGTATGTAAATACATGAAAATATCTGAGCCACGGAAATATTTCCTGTTTAATGGTTCAGACTTACAAATTAGAAAAACTGAGCTCCATCAACATGACAGAAGTCATCAGCTGGAACCCGGGTAAGGGATGGGGATTGAGGGAGTTTTCTCCAGGATATTATTGGAGAAGAACAAAATCTTATAAATAGATGGTGCAAGAATGCTTACATAAAACTCCAGCTGCTATCTCAATCTTTATTCCTGATAAATTTGTCCTCAGTGACCACTTCTACTCTGTTCGTG